CATTCTCTCAGACACACGGGCCAGTTCCAGGCCAATTTTCGGAGCAGTTTGCGTTCACTCTCTTATTTTTGGCCGAATTTTTCTGCTTCATTTTTCTCTTCCTCCTCCTCCTCCCAATCGTTTCTCCTTTTTCGTCAGCAGCTCTAAACATTTATCAGCCCGCCGGGGTCTTACCGAAATAGTTTCCAGGTGTCTGGAAATGGAAGAAGAACAATGATTGTTATCAGTTATTTTTATTTTTTTGTATGGTGTCGGGTTGAAATTCCGCATGGCGGGGAACAATTTCATAGAAATTTTTCATTACCAACAACAAGAATATTGTAAAAATATCGAAATCGCATGAGTTGTAGCACATTTTTGATGCAGGCGACCCTACGAAGACCTACGAAAATTTTATAACAAACATTTTTATTAGCCTAATAATCATCAAGCTGAAACAACAAATCAACCTGTCTTTTCTCAAAGCTCAAAAACATTTATAGCTATTTATAGTTGCAGTGGAACGCTTTTGCAGGTGTGATGGCACACCAACCTTCTCCCTCTCTGTCCTTGTTGCCGCATTGCTCTGGCAAACGCACACTCCCCGAGAAAATGCAGTCGGAATCAGCATTATGTGTACACAACACCCCCTTCCACTAAAATATGATACACTGATACCTAATACAAAACCAAACGAAAGGAAAAGAGAATGTTGAGGGAGGGGGAGATTTTCATGCTCGCTTAAACTGTGAAATACACGGGGAGTTAAACGATGAAAGTTGCGCTAGAATCTGGCAGAGAGAGAGAGAGAGAGAGACAGGAAGGAAGGAAGGAAACGAAGCGGCAGCGAATCGCGGTAGAAGACAGAGGGTATGAAGGGATGCGGGGAAGAAAAACAATAGGCTGGATAATTGGATGAAATTACTAGTGGAGTTATACACCGAAGAAACTAAATCTGCTGATGACTGTGCATATACTAGGTCGAAAGCGCATTTTAACTCATTTTTCTCTTATCCATTGGCTTTTGTTTCGGCAGTGAAATGGGAGATATGCAAAACGTTGAGTAGTTATGATGGCCATATAGTAGAGCTACTTCAGAAATCAATATCTCTCACCTAGGTATAAATGCACATGATGGACATTTTCAAGTAATAAAAAATACCTCAATACTGGCAATTTGTCAACAACTAAATGAGAGGAAGGAGAGAGATTTGCAGATGCCGTTGGCCATTTTATCAATTGATTCAACCAATTTTTTGCATTAATTTAATGGAGTTTTAATCTTTTTCATTCTTCCTTCGCCGTATGACGTCCCCTTGAACTTTAACTTGAGACCGAAACTACTTTATTTCTGCTACTCTCAAATCAATGGAATTTTTCGCCTAAAGGGCGACTTAAACTATAGGCGTACTAGTTTAACAATTCACCCTGTTTCAAATAGGAACAAGGAAAATTTATTGTCTCGACGACTTTCAATTCAACTGATAGTCTCATATTTCTACGTGAATGCCCTCAATGATTGGCTCTTGGGTTTGAAATTTTACTCGGTGAGTGCTAGCCCGTCGGGATATGAAAAACTCGGCGATTACCCTTAGGACAGACGACGTTTTCTACTAGAGTGCCTCGAGGAATTTTTCATGAAAAATTTATGCCCACCTGAAGAATCATCGCTTTTCTCCCTACATTGCACTATTTTTTTTTAGCCAACTTGTTTCACACCGCCAAAATATTAGTCCAGGTGAGAGATATTCTACGTATGGAAAATTGTTTTTCGTCCTATTTTAATCATCAAAATTCTCTGGAAATGATGAAGATTTCTTTCGATTACTTATCGTTGATGGAACAAGTTGAAAATATTAATATTAAGTATTATTTGTTGATCCAAATAATTTCACTATTCAAATAAATAGTACACAATTTTTTTAAACCATTCCATGTCAATGTCATCTCAAATATTAAAGACAGAACAAATTAATGAAACTCCCCGATCATCTCCATAATTCAAATTTTCAAGACTCGATTAATCCTCTCCCGCAAATTGTCTTACTCTGTTTCAGAAATACGTGAGCGAGGTATCAACAGTCCGAGATTGCGTAAACAGCTGCGTGGAGAAGGGTGAGTCTTGACATTTGCCACAAAATCCCCTGGGGTTGAGTTATATCAGTGATGGTATAAGTTTGATGGATTGAAAGAAATTTGACAAGACGAGTCGAAGAAACGAGAGTGGGAATCTGACTCTGCCCTATAGCTACCTTTCACGTGGAGATCCTATGGGATATACTGGGATATACTATGATAGGCAGTAGTAGTAGTAGTAATATAAGGGAATAACAGGATGTACGAGTGAATAAAAAGCCCGGGATTTTTGCGAGGTGCTTTTGACGTTGCTGAGATGGTATATAAGGGAGGGGGGATGATTCCGCTCCACACAGTCATATCCTCAAAATAGAGTAGGCGTGTGGGTGTTTGCATTGCTACAACTTCCATGCTTCCATGCATGTGTAGTTGAGGCATCGGACGGAGGACATTTGGAACACGCTATCTCCCTTCCGTCTCTCCCTCCAGTCCTCTTCTTCGATCCAATGAGAGAGGGAGAGGGCGGCTCGGGCCACAGCACTGGATAAACAAATTCTCCTATTTACATAGCAAACTTCAGAATCGATGGGTCCATTCTATCAATTTTTTTTCCACTCCGTTGTAATGTTTCTTTCCCCCTTTTTGTGGATTCTTGGACGGGGAAAAAGTTTGTAACGTCTCGACACCCAATCTCTGTTTTCATGTAAAAGTCCATACAGTTGTGCTAAGCTAAATTACTTTTTTTTTTTGCAAGATATTGAATGGGTGATCGAGGTCAGAGGAAAGGGGATGAGTTGAGCATGGGATGAATTAGTTTATGAAAAATTCACAACACAGTACCTGAGGTTCGATGAATTTTATTATTTTATGAGTGGATGGGTGTAGCACTAGAGAATTTGGAAATAGTGCATGTGATAGGTGCTTATTGGGCTTATTGGGCATTCTATTATAGTAGGGAGGAGAAGGGTAGTTTCACTTATGAAAAATGAATGAGTAAACGTGTTGAGATGCAGCATTATATATGCATGGTTGATAATGCGAAAACAATTTCTCTTTGTTTTACTTTCTGATATAATAGAGAATGCATGACTTTGAAATGCAGCAATTTGCGGAAGCAATTTAAAAGCTTGTTTGGGAATAATTAAAGGTAACTCGTGGGTTGAGACAACTGGTCATTTATTATCCTTCCAGGTAATGAGAAAATTTTTTTCAAAGACAGCCAAAAACAATTCACTATGAGTGTGTGCTTTTCTTTTTCTTTCTCTTTTTTTTTTCCATTTTTGGAGAAAATTTCTCTGGCCTTTTAACGAAAGCACTTTCGCAGGAAAATCTCTCCTCTATACAACTATCTTAATTTGAGAGAATTATTTTCTTATGCATGAGGAATAGCGTTTAAAGGTTAGTGCCACCTGAGTGTACTCAGTCTTAATTATCACGGGTATGAAATATGTGATTTAAACGTAACTTCAGACTTTACCCTCATTTCTATTTTTTTAAATGAAAGAAAACGAAAATTAAGAGAAAAAAAATAATAGCATTTTTTAATCAACTCCAGAATACATTTTGCAACCATTTTACTCTCACAAAGTTGAACAGTTTTACATCAACAATTTAAGATCACGTAGTCGATGTTGAACTTTTGCCCGGGTTTGTGGCTCACTAAAAGCCTGAAAGCATTTCTGCATTTTTACACCGTTTTGAGGATAAAAATATTTGTCACCGTATCCATTACTACCATTTCCCCAGTAACTCAGCACTATGAATAATGGATTCAATGACACCTTTGTTCCACTGCAGTAAAACCAAGAATGAAAAATAATTTCCTTTTCCCAAACAGCTTGCATGCTTGCTTGAAAACGTGGCCACGTGAAAAAGTTATGCTTTGCAAAAGCCAAGGAGCTTAACCCAATGACATTATTGGTGATTTATGAGCTTGTCAAAAAGGGTCACGAGATGAACAATTTCTTTTGTATAATTTAATATCACCTTAGCACAATTGACTGGATAATTTATTCCTTTTTACCTCTGATATTTGGGAAAATTATTGAATTGGTCCGAGTGATTAAAGCTCAACGGTTATTAAATTGCACTCGTGTAAAGTGAAATATCCGGCGGGAATTCCAGTTGGCGCTTTTACCACATCAACTTCTCCCATAGCCATTCCCTCAAGTCGTTTGGCCAACTTGTCTCACATGGAATCATCACAAAGGTGGCCGGGCTCAGCGGTTATTTAACGATTCTGGATTCTAGAAATGTACACCAGTGGTAGTGTGCGTAATAGCTCTCAATTGCCGACGATCGTATGACAATTTGAGAACAGATGGTTCGGTGAACAAATGAATTTTACTTATTCACTCAATGCTCCACTAGTCCTCGTTTCTGACTATAGATAAATTTCTTGTCCTTCGTTAGGAGAACGAGGAATTTCAACGGATTCTGCCTGATGAAAATGCATGAAATTTAACTGGCTTGTAAATGACATGTGCATCTCATAATTTCATACATTGCATCAACGAATTAAAAAATAACTCGAAATTATTATCATTTCCATAATTTTTATCAATCTTCCTTCCACAGATGAGAAAATTTTCTGCAGAGAAATGTCACCAAAAATTTGAAGAAAAAATTTTATGTAAAAAAAAACAAATGAAACAAAATGAAAAAATCATGAATGAATGAATAGCTTAGTTTCTCAGTGAAAAAAAAAATTAAGAAAAAAATATTGTAGAAAAGAGTGAGTGGTTGGTAGTACCAGGTGATGGAGGGGCTTAAAATAATCCATGAATAGGGTTCGAAAACTCGAGTGCATAACTTTTTTGGCAACCGTCACAATAACTCTTGGAAAGCAATTTCCCTCTCTCTCTCTCTCTCTCTCTCTCTCTCTCTCTCTCTCTCTCTTACCAATTACATGAAAAAGAAATATTAGTACTTGGGAAATGAAAAAAATAGATTTAGAGAGGTCGAGGGGTCATGGGCATTCAGAGAGGCACCATCAGAATCGAAAGAGAGTCTATTGGATCGTCGTGGGGAGCGGAGCAGAAGCAGAAGCAGATGCTTTTGATCCCTCTCACTGGTTTATTCTCCAAAAATGTTGGGAGGATAAAACGAACCTCATCGATTTCTGATTACCAGAGGACGCAAAGAGAGTGAGAGAGTGCTACTATCTACATTTTCTCCTGCACTTTGGCTTCATCGTGCCCCTTTTTTTCCACTCCCTATTTTTTGTCCCTCTATTGGCCTGACGCCGGTCAAAGCGCCACATGAAATTCCCCCATTATTCTCAATAAAGTTAGTGAGCCAAAACAAATCGGGTTAGAAAGAGTGCGAGTCCATTCAAAGAAATAGAATAGGAGTAGAATGCTAAATGCGTTGGAAAAAAATCTTTAAAATAGTTTCCATATTGGCATAATTTCACATTTATAATTAAATGCCAAGGAACTCATGTTGACATATTCTTTTCAAATCCTTCAATTAGGTATATATTGCTCATCATTTTTCAGAGGTTTGGGGCACGCGCACGTACTGCTGCCAAAACGATGGATGCAATCGCGGTGGCCCCAGCTTATGCAGTGGCACGGCACTCTGGCTGACAGCAATTGTCCTGAGCCTTCTCATTGCTGGTCAACTCCATGGCTAATGAAAATCCCATTTAAATAACATTCCGTCTTTTCGACATTCACGCAGCCATAAAAATCACAAGAAAATAATGGAAATTTTTACTTCTCAATTGGACAAATAATTAACTAATTTCATTTTGATCAACAATCATACTATGCAAAGATTTCTGTCTCAATTGCGAGTGAAAATTTCCTGTCCTTGTAATTATATAATTTCCAAGAATTTTTCAGTGCGATAATTGGATTTGCAATCCTCCCTCTTTTTTCACTTTTCATTATTTTTTTTTCTGCTAGTGCAGAGAGACGATTTATTTTTCCCCCGGCGTATATGAGGTTCGTATGTATCCATTTATTATCCTCATGCCATTTTTACCGCCATTCCTCTTCGTTTGCTGCTCGAGTTGAGGGAAAGACGTTTAACGGAAAAAAGATAGAAAGGAAAAAGAAATAATGCATGAATACATATACACATTTGACCGATATATTCCAGTTTTACATGCACAACCACTTCTCCCCCGATACGACTGCCGGGCGAATCAGTGCAGTGCGAACCGAGCAATAAGAGGTAAAGACTTGGTTTGCAGAGAAAAAAAAATACATATATATGTATATATTGTTTTTTTTTTCGTCGATTCCACAATCATATAAACTACCTATTGAGCTCTCGGTATTCATAAATATTATACAAAAAAAAAAATATTGTTATCGTTACGATTACCAAATGCTATTTAATTAACTAGTCATTATACTACCTACAGTAACGGAAGGAAAGACAATTGTTATCACAAGTATCATTGGGCACACGTAATCAAAACTCAAACAAAATTGACTATATTAATTAATCATTATGGGATAATCAACTTTTAGTGCATTCAAAGTGAATTAAAACTATGGAGATTGAATAAAATTAATATCATTGAACATGAATTATTATCATTATTATTATTGCTTGGATAGAAATTACCAATATGCTCGATTTTTAAAATAATAAATTAATTAAAGAGAGTAATAAGCCAATAACACTTATGCTGTAACATTAAAATATAGTTTCAAGTCGATTGTCATGGATAGTTGGCGTACTGGAAGCTCGCTTGTGATAGTATAAACTATTGTTAATCAAATTTTATTGAAGAATATCAAAAGTTATTATCGAATGAGTGAGATTAATTTACTTGAGAGCCAGAGCGCGTATTTTATAAATGTAGAAAAATTTACTCGAGTCTGTGTGGGAGAGGGAAATCAATTAATATTATTATTTAATGTCGAATTTTCTCTCGGAAAAAGGAAAAATTTGGAAAACTGCAAATGATCTCCTCTCCACACAATAATTCAAATTCTATTTGGTATTTCTTCATAATTCTACATATTAAAGAGAAAAAAAAAGCGTCAACGGACCGTAGTAGCATTTTCATCCATTTTCTTTTCTCTATTATTATATCCTCGAATAAATACGGTCCGCCAAATAATTGCCACACAAAACAAAATAAAGAAATGAAAACGGACGTGATAATAACGCGATTCGAAATAGTACAAAGATACAATAAACTAATAAACAGGATAGAAAAGAAGAGCATTGAACAAAGACGATCAAAGGAAAACGGAAAGTAACGAGTTGATCACTGAATTTGTGAAAGAGAGAACAAAATCATTGTGAAACAAGAGGAGAAGACTCACTATTCTCTGCTTGTACTTGCCGGCTGAGTCAGGTAAATCTCCGGCCTTGATGGTTAGTAGAATATCAGCGACGACGAGATTTCAATACAAAATGTATCGCAAAAAATTGTACATTTATAATAGAGAGCCGCAATAAAAAAAAGATGGATCCGTTAAAATAATCGATAAGCATTTTTATCTCTCATCCCTTTTTATCTATTTGACTCGAAAAATCATGAATATTTTACTCTGCGAAATGAAAAAAACATTGAATATCATTCAGTATCAGTGAAGAAGAAACATATGCCAAGACACTTGTTTTAGAATTAGTACGCTCTGCTGTCTATGAAATTTGTCACAGAGCATGCTGATTCTTTGACAAGTACCACTGGCTAAATACGTCAGTGATGAAGTGATGAATGAAGGTGGTTTTATTGTTGGAAAAGAGACAGTAGGAAATCAATACATGTAAATACGTGTCAAATCATGGCAAAATAATGACAAGAGAGTTGCAGAGAAGAGTAGGTTGAGAGAAATGTCGAAACGTTGACATCTTTATCTTTATTTTCATCATTACATCTGTAGAAACGATGAAAAAATTCAATGTTCCAATCTCGGCCATTTTATTTGTCGTTAAAAATTCTAGAAATAATAAAGACATCCATCCTCAACATTCTATTCATTCATTTTATTATTTATACATATTCCATTATTCATGGCAAAACATGTAATCTTCCGAAGAGTTCATTTATTTATAAATCAATTTTTACAATGAAGAAAAAAAATCAATTACTGTTGTCCCAATTATTCCAGTACCTAGACGAATGTCATGACTAAAAAAAAGATGTCGATGCATTGGGAGTGCATACACGGATAAATCGAGGAGGGCAGCATTGGGGGGCGTCAATTAATTGATACTTTAGAGGGGGCTGGAGAGTAATTCCTCTTGTCAATTCTGGTTCTGTAAGAATAAGAGAAATAAAGTGTGAGAAATTTTTAGATCTTGCGATTGAGCACGTTTACTTCTTTTGTTGAATTTCTATTCAAGTTTTGAGTGCAATCGAGTCCATTTTTACCTCAAGTAATGAAAAATGGAGAATGGAGAATAATTATTTATCTTTCATTTGTTGAAAAAAGAAAAAAGAAAAAAGAAAAAAGAAAAAAGAAGGAAAAAATGTTGAAATGATCAACTCAACATTGATCATTAATAAATTGAAAGAAAGTATTGAAAACTGACCTTAGAATCCCCACTGCCGAGAAACACGAGTCCTATTGCACCGGCATACGCCATGAGTGTATCAGCTGCCTGCTGTGTTTCCAATAGTATTCTAGTCTCATTCATCCAATCTCTAGCAATAGACCTCGATGCACCCTTCAACAGATTCATGTACTTGAGAGTCATCTTGAAGTCTCCACGATCCAGCCAATACCTGTGCCATTTCAATTCGTATATAACTTAAATTTCATTTACTCTTTACCTGAATCAAGATAAATGATGACTCTTTACCTAGCACGATCTAATACATCGTATGTATCCAGCTTACTGACGTCAATGGGCTCGTCCGATAGTTCACTCTTCGATATCGGACTTATCGCTTTAACTAAAAGGAAACTCTGGAGGTAGCTGAGCAAATATATCGGGAGGGAGGCGCCTTCCGCAGGTACTAGGGCAAGACGTCTTGCCATGTGTTCCACCTGAAATTAATCATTCATCAATCAACGTCAACAGCAATTTATTTTCCCGTAAATCATCGTCAAAAGATGGTTTGAATTGTGCACACTAGTAGAAAACAAGTTTAACCCCAATTCTTCGTTACTAAGGAGACCATTATTTTCCATAGAATACAAAATTGAGTAATGTCTCTAAGTTTGTAATGAATTTTCTTCTCTCAACAGTTACGAAAGTGTCTACGATCAGTGAATCCGCTCAAATACATATATTTATTAGCTTTTATGGGGAAATTAGAAATTAAAATTTAGAGGGTTTACTGCTAAAATTAAACTAAATTGTACAATAGTTCATTAATTTGTGACCATTATGAATTACATTTTTCAAACAAAAAATTTTTGCCCTAATTGCCCTAATTGAGGAATAAGATACTTGATAAAAGACCTTTAAAAAACGCTCTCTGAGTGCATCCTCAGGGAAAACTCCCCGCTTAACAGCCTCCTCAGGTATTCCCTCAAGTGTCGCCTTAACCAGTGCATCGTCCTTGGCTATAAAAATCCACAAAATGCCACAAAAAACATGTCATTTTATTCTTTTTTTTTTTTACTTATGCTTACGTGCAACTTTGGAAACTGCATTTATTTCAGCCTCAAGCGGTCTCACTGGTTTGTCACTTGGGGCTCCTGGAGGTGCAACTTTTATGGCTCTACCCAGGGCTTGACATGCGGCCCATAGCATTTGGGCGTCGCAGGCTCCTTTTTCCTCACTCAGACGAACTTCAGCATGAAATTTAAAATAAATATCAATGTTCGTCCGGAGCAATTAAATTCGGTATGATGAATAGGCGGGATTATTAAATTGAACAAATAACTTGTTAAAAATTCAATAGAAAAATCCTTGCAATCCTTTTATCCTCTTTTAATGTCATAAAATTAAATGGCCCTTGATACGTTAATGAAAAACATTAAATAGAGAAGGGAGAAGAGGCTTGATTGAGGTACTTACGTTTGAGTGCCTCATCCAGTCCTCGCAATCTGCCAACAATCACTGCCAGCTGGCTTTTATACTTGATGGACGTTTCTTCAGCCTGCTCACTCGCGGCACGATTTATCAGCCTCTGTGTCTCCTTTTCCTTAATCTCGAGGACCTCCTTCAGGTGGTCGGCATTCACCTGCGCTTGGAGCTTCAGTTGCCGACGGATTTCTTCTTCAAATGATTTGCGTTCAGCCAACAACTAACAATATAATTATGATTTATTGAAACGATATTCTCTCTCTCTCAGTCAACAAGTTGAATATGAGGGGGGCCTGTCAAGAGCCCTCCCCCCCCTTACCTTTTTCTCAAACTCTTGAGTAAGGATTCTCTTCTCCTTATTGACCTCACGACAGACGAGTTCATTCAATTTCTCCTCTGAAGCTAAATCTCCACTGGATTTCAAAGCAGCTTTTAATCTCGCACTATCAACGCTCTAGAAAGAGTAAGAAATGAGTCAAACGGTGGATAAAAAAAAAAAAACTCAAGTGTCCAACATTTTCCAAGACTTTCAAAGTGTTGACTTTGTTTGCGTACCTCCAACTTGTCCAACTCCTTCTGCAAATAATTCACCCTATTATACATGTGAAGGACAAAGATATCAAACGCCTCCTCATTAACGCTGAAATTTTTGTCGTGAATATTGATGTTTGGAAATAATATTTGCAACTCCTCGTTGAAATTTTCTCTAGCTGTTTTCACTTTATTCCAGTATCTCTCGGTAATGTTGGCAGAGCGCTCTTCGGCGTCGTACTTGTTTTTGGCGGCGTCGACATCGTCGATTATTTTTTTGACGTTTCGACGGGCAGCGGCTTTCACAACGGATGGGGCATCGAATTGGGGATCGTCAACTATGGTAGCGAGACGCTTAAGGTTTTGGATGGCTTCGGTGGCGCTTCTTTCCGCCTCTTGGGTTGCACTTTTTCTTTTTTCCGTTGCTTCTTTCAATCTGGAACAATTACAAGCTTTGTTTTTAGCAAGAAAAAACAAGTCCTCCTGTTATGTGAGCACAATATATTTCTCACCTTTGCCAAATAGGAGCTCCAATATTAGCAGGGGCACCGCTGCCACCCTCCACAACTTTGACAACATCCTGATTATATTGATGAATGGCATTAGTAGCCTCCTGATAGGCAGTAATGGCTTTGGTGGCTGCCTCTCCACAAAAAGCCTCGAGTTCCACGAGATTGTTTGGCTTCAACTCCTCGGGAACTTGTTTCTTGGGGGGAGAGGGCTTCTCCACCACTGCGCGGACAATCAAATTATTTCAAACCCTTCTCTTTCTGAGATGGAATGGAGTTTTCATGATGATTCAACATAGTTTTGAGTGCTTTTATATAATACACCATTACCCACCGACTTGGATTTTCTCTCCTTTGTCCTTACTCTGGCGGATTTCAGCGTATGGATCGTTAACTGGTGGCTCTTTTGTTATTACCAATGGCTCGAATGATGGCTTCGGAGCTGTGCATTCAGAGTCATTAGCAGTCATTATTAACAAAAAATGAAAAATGGTGAAATGAAAAACAACGAAACGGAACGAATCAATGAGACTTGACAAGAGATTAGTTATTTGAAAAATTTCTTCAGACAACTTCAGAAAAGCAATTCACATAAATCAATTCACATTATTGGACAACAGTACAAAAATAGAATTTCATTATTTTACAAATGTCTAAAATATACTGAGTAAAAACTCATTTAAAGTTTAATTTTACTATCAACTTGAGAAAAATTTTCGCCATAAATGAAATATATTCACAAGTGGAATAGCATGTTTTTAGTTATTAAAGGATGGAAGAGGATAAGGATAAGAGGGTAAGGATCTCACGTGTGTAGTTTTCACAGTTAGCACATGGTATTTCCTTCTGACCTGCTTTATTATCATCTTTCCTCTTCTCTATTTTTGCTTTTCCATCGCCAAAAACTCCTCCAATAACACTGAACAAAAAAAATATACATTGCATCAGTAAAGTGCATAGCCGTCTTGTGTTGATAAAAAAAAATGATAATTTCATCAAATTCATTCACCTATGTTTCAAATTGTCGAAAAATTCACACACTTGATCGAAATACGATCCCTCCTCCTGAAAAATGACCTTGATGGTTTTATCAGTGCCTGGGATCCACTCCTCTAGCTGCGACCTGATATCTGAATTGTTTTTCGCTAGTGCCAAAATTCCCACTGTTCCCAGGGTTATCGAGCCCAGAAGTAAAATCCCTTTTCTCCCAGACTTGCCACTGAAAAGTAAAATTATCATCATATGATTAGAAAATTATTCAACTCCAATTGAAGAATAAATGTATGCCATTATATACCTTGGTGGTACCCCTGACGAGTAGCCAGCCCTCGCTTGTGCCACAATCACCCTAACATCCCTCTGTCCCCTGAAAGCCCATCAACAGAATCCAGTAAAAACACCCTCATCCCCAAGGTCAATAAGAGGATAAACCCTGAATCAACTCACTCTATTGCTTGCCTCCTCCACGGCTGAACATCCCTGCACCTGGTGGCTGCATAAAATCTCGAGTAACCATATTTATTAATCTAAAAGTAAGCAAACACATTCATTTGATTTTGATTTAAAAAAAAAAAACCCCTCTATCCTCGTGAGTCTTACTTATGTAAGACTAACGAATGCACACTCAAAGTGTCAACACCTCACAATTACTTTTAATAGAATTATTACTGATCAACATATTTCACATACAATACAAACACATTACGCGATGATAACTGTCTGTGACAACTTGATCACCAAGTCATGACAGAAAATAGAATGATCCTCAAGGTTTCATTTCACTTGTAATTCTTTTGGATAGTATTTTATACGATAATAATTGTCAGATATGAATAATGATAATTGTGCATTAATCTTGTTAAAATTTTATGACTCACTTTAATTATCCGATTGTGTGGGTTTGACGAAAATTTAATGCCAATTCGGAACATGCTTTCGGCCGTTGAGGCGGCACAAACGAAACAGCCCTAGAGGTTAAATATCGGGATGAATGATTACAGTATATTTCAATATTAACAGATTGTTGAGACTGGCGGAATGCAATGGAATCGAGGACTAAACAGCTGATTTGTTGATGATTGGCGAAAAGGGGGGAGAAAATGGTTCAGTTCCAATGGATTTCTTGTTTATGTTCTGATCCATGTGAATGTGCAGCACTGCTCAGAGCGCTGCTTGGTGCTGCTGCTGCTCTCTCTCTTCATTACTCCAAAAACTCTTGATTATAAATAATAATTGATAATTCAATGTGATCGGTCAATAAAATCATATAATTATGTTGTCGACACTTTTTCGAGCTGCTCTAAGAGGTATTCATTTTTAAACTTTGTTTATTTGAAGAAATCATTAACTATCATTTTATTGGAGGTTAGAAAATCAAGAGTTAAGAGTATAATGCTTTATTTACTTGCAATGTTTAGGAGCCGTTCGGTGTCGAGCTGCTGTGTCAATGCCGAAATTGCAAAACTATGGATTTTCCGAGGAGAAACGCCTTGTTGGGGGGTTGCAATCCAGTTACGCTAGCGAATATCGAGGGATTTGCTCAACTGTGTCGTCGATGAGATTGAATCAATATGTTAGAGCCTCACCCATTGTTCCTGATGGAAGTTTATTAACGTAAAAAATATTGAATCACTTTTGAAAAATGTGTCTAATAGCCAAGTGGTAAAATAAGATGCATGTGAACTTGTTATCATCAACATTCATACTTATTATTTAATATTAATAGTTTATTTCATGTTTTATCGGATAGAAAATCAGTTGAAACAACTGTTCTCAACGGATATACACCCACCCGTACCGTCGTCAAGTTTACAAAATCTCAGGGAAAGCGACAATGTGTTAAAACTGTTTTAAAACGCTTCTACAGGCTCAATTGGTAGAAAATATGATAATTGTGAAAAAAAAAAAAAAAAAAAAAAAACAATATTCATTCGACAATAACATGGAATAATTATTGCAGGGGCATCTGGATAAGAACCAAAGCTGGCAGACACAAGCGACGATGGAAAAAAAGTGGTGCCAATGCTAGACGTTCTCGTCAACATGTCTTCTGTAACGCAACCCAGTCGTGGCTACTGGACAAAATGGTCACACCCTTCTGGAGAAAGCCCAAGTACTGGGTCGATGACCCCTATGCTCCCTATCACAAACGTGAGGAGTACTGGGCTACCAGAACTACACCGTCACCCGTTATTCGGAAGCCACCGTCTACATGATAACTTGGCTTAGACATTGGCGATGTGGCGATGGTGCCATATTAATAATAATAATAATAACGATAAATATACTGTTAATACAGTTTTTTGCTCTTTATTTATCTCCACAATATCTTTTAATCTACATGTCTCCTGCTCCTATGGACATATATTTTATTCGCTAGCTTTCAACTTTGCGTTTCCACCAAGTTCAAATCATATTTGCGTTTAGATATAAATTTTAGCTATACTTGGCGTATCTTGAGTGATTTTGAGGGGGTTAACTGTATGTATATATATATATATATTATTAGGATATGACGTTCGTATAAGTTGACAGCCCTTGTTCAATGAGTTTTATAAAAAAAAAAATCCCTAGTTCCATGCTCCCTGAGCCACTGAGCTATATTGACTGGAATACCTGGAATCCCTGTGGGATATTTCCAGTTTATATTGGTGATGTGTGCACAAAAGACACTCGAATTTCGAGCATTCCTTATTTCTATTTACTGAAGTAGGTCAGCCTCTCAGCACTTTTTAAATTAAAAACAAAATATATCATCCATATTGCATTTTGAGTAACCTATAAAATCCATAAATTTTTGACACTTGCAAATGTTATCTGCGTTTTCTATGTTTTCAGAGATAATTTCCATAAATATATTTGAAATCATGGAGGTGATTGTTGCTGATAAAACAGCTTCAAATCAGTTTTCAATGAAGACTGAATCAAGTGGAGGAAAAATTCAAGACGATGATTTTTTCGTAATTTCATCAAACTGGTCGGTTGTCAAGGGTAAAGCCCTGAACAACACAATCACTACAGTGCTCCACAAGGATTTTTCGGGGAGGTAAAAGCGGTAATGGTCAAATTACCTTTGTCATCAATTCCGCAAAAAAAAAAAATTCCAAGAGAATTAGAATTTAGAGAGAAAAAATTTCAAATGATGTTTATAATTTTAGCATGCCTTTAGACGACATCGCAAACGAGTTTACCAGCATAGAGATTCAACCGAAGGCTGAACATGAACCCTGTACGATAGATATCAAGCTGAAAAATGGGCAGAAGATTGTCAGGATGGGAATTTCCTCCGAGGCTGAGGTCTTGGAGATTTTTAAAGAGAGTGGAGAATATGCTACGACTATTTTCTCAGAGTTTATTGATGAATTTGAGGGGTGCACTGTTTATTTGGGAGGAGTTGTTTTCGATAGACCCACGACAGAAGCTAGTATAAAGGTAATGAATTTTCTAATTAATCAACTTGTTTAAAATAATAAATTTGAAAAACAATTGAAAAAATGAATGATTTATTCACTTGCATTTCTTTCTTGCATTTTCAAGAGAACACTTTATGTAAAGCAAAATAAGCTCTACAGCAAATGTTTCGACACAAATTTTACCATCTGTCTTAAATTTCTCCAACTATTCTAGAATAAAATTCAATTGTATGATGATTTATTTATTTCTTTGTTTATTTCAGTTTACTAGAGTAAAAAATGAACGTTCATCAGTATTTATATATGGAATTCGTCTCGTCCTCGACGATTCAAAGCCTTCAAACAATCCCACGTCAGAACAGTTGGACTACAATAATATAATCAGTGATTTTTTGACGTTATTACACCCTAGACGAAATAATAATCTTACTGGAAAAGTGTCTTCAACAGTTGTCACAAATTCTCTACCCATCGTTTTAAAAGACTCTGGGATGGCCGAATACTTGAAAAAGTTGGTGGACACGAATTTAGCATCTCCAATTGATGGTCAAAATGATAATGACTCTGAAGAAAAAGTTTTAGAAAGTGATAATAGATCAACGAAACAGAAAATTTCTTCTACGAATAATAACCACTCCCCAGATAAACAATCCCCATATTATCGACAAATTATCAATGGAAATGCCAAAAATGACCAATTGTCTACTCTCGAATCAATTATAGATATTAAAATTGTAGAAATGGAGACGAGACTGATGCAGAGGATCGACCAAATGGAGCAAAACACCAACAAAACCTTGGAAGAAATTCTCAACAAACTAGACGCTTTAGAAAAATTGAAAGTAATTTGAATCCAAAATACCAAATATTGTAATTTATAAACAAACTTTTATAATAATACAGAATAATGCAAAATACAAGGTAAAAATGCTACCATGCGACGCGTTGAAAAATAACTATGCACTCTTCTGTTTTTTTTTGTTTTTTCTTCTTTTATCAAAAGAATTTCCTGCATTTTCGAAGGAATTCTTCAACTTTTTTTTTTTTAGGTTGAATAGTGAAGCAATTAATGTTCAGAGGTAACTTGTTTAGGGTCCTCTTTGTTTTCCTCTTCAGGTTCATCCTGCTGGACGTCAGGAGGATCCCAGGTATGCAGTTGCTTCCTCCAGAGCTTTACCATGCCATCCCAACCCCTTCTGCTGTATTTCACGTGCTTTGGAGGGGTTTTCGGTTGATCTTTGGTCCTCTGATCCCTTGAAATGTTGAATTCTATAGATAATTTATGCCAAAAACGGAGGATGAAAATGTTCAACAATATGTCACCTGACATTTCCTCTTAAAAATACAAAAATGGCCATAAAAAAGCATTAATACAAGCTACAGAATAATTTTATTATCAATTTCAACTTACTTAGGAACCATTTGTATATATCTATCATATCCAATAGTATTCTTTCCATAATCAATATCTTTCTGCCTTCTAGACAACACCCCAGCATCAGTTTCATACTCTATCTTTTTCTTGTCATTGCTGGAAGTTGTACTGTTGCTGGATTCACTGTTCTTACGATTCCTGGAGGCCCTCTCAGGCTTAACCCCTGGACTCTCATCCCTCTGTCTCTTCCTACCATTGTCCAAGGTTAATGATGTGTCCTTGTCATTCTCCAGAGACAACACCGAATTTTGGATCATCTCCTCGTGGCTTTTTTCTCCACCCCCATTGGCATTTTCACAATTGGCCTGGGCATTTGTATTATTTATTTCCCTTAAATCGGCCATTTTTGTCTTTATTTCTCTCCTTTGGGGGATCACAATTAATATATTCAAGTGAACAAACAAATGTGATTCGATAATAACCTTACATTTACGCAACTGTTGATTGATTGATGACAACTACGAGAAATCAACTTTTCAACTGAATTAATGGGGTAGGGGAGAGCAAAATGTTAGAATTTTGATATTTAATTCGACATTTTGTATATAATAATAAATACTTTAGAGTTTTTGAAAAATTGAACGATGAAAAACAAATGAGTAAAATTTGGCTTCACTCTTTTTCCAGGCTTGTTTTGTTGAAGCGTTTTGGCGCCAGTCATACTACACATCAGTTAGGGATGCGCACGCATGATATTAAAATTCACTATGCTATGTAACAAGCTAGCATCAGCTATGGCTAGCATCTAGATAGTACACTTGGTTAACCTCAAAATGGCTGGATCAGTGTCTCGCATATTTTTTTGTGCAACAAAATGTATATAAATAACTTTGTTTATGACTATTTGTTTGTGAATTAGGAAGCAATATTGATTTCTCATAGATATTTCGTTAGTTTTAGGTCATGTCAAGCGACCATTGGGCCTCAATTTCAGCCAGACACCCCTGTCAACACAAGCAGAGCCCAGAGTGCAGAAAATCGAAGGTATCATTTGATTTAATAGTGATGATGAAATAAAATTATAATTTTCTATTTATTCCAGAGCCACCAGCCATGATAGATCCCCTAAAACACCCTGACTTTTTTGGAGTTCACGAGTTCTTCACAATAAAAGACTTGTTTGACGCGCGAGTGCATTTTGGCCACAAGATGGGTTCTCTCGACGAGCGGATGAAGCCCTACATTTACGGATCGAGATTGGGCCACCTTATCATTGACCTTGACAAAACAGCGGACCACCTCCGAGCCGCCCTCAACTTCACAGCTCACATTGCCTTTCGCGGTGGAATAATCCTCTTCATCTCTCGCAATCCCCAGGTTACGCATATGGTTGAAAAAACGGCGAGGGAGTGCAGTGAATTTGCACACACGAGATACTGGAAGAACGGAACATTTACCAATGCAACGAAAATCTTCAAGGCTGTTACCAGACTCCCGGACTTGTGCATCTTCATCAACACCCAGAATGACGTTCTCTTCGAGAGTTTTGCTGTACGTGATTCCGCTAAAATGTGCATTCCCAGTGTTGGCATTGTCGACACCAACTGCAATCCCAATCTCATTACTTATCCAGTGCCTGGTAATGATGACAGCCCAGTCGCCCTCGCTTTGTACTGCAGATTATTTAAGGAAGCTATTTTGAGGGGCAAAGGGGCCAGGGAAAAGTTATCCAACTTTACCGAATAGTGTATTTGTTTATTATTCTTTCTTTCTTTCTTTCTTTCTTTCTTTCTTTCTTTATGTAAAAAATATTGTCGTACAAAAAAAATGAAGATTTCTCATCAAGGAAAAGTTGTCCATCTTTGTTCTTGCCCTATTTTACAGGCATTGTAACTTTGTTGTCACGCAGGCGTTGTAAGAATGCTGGGCCTAAAAGCTCCAGAACCCTGACAAGATGAAAAAAATACATACCTATATACCTATATATATTTTTTTGATTATTTAACATCATTATATTGATAAGAAGAGGAAGAGATAATTCTTAAACTTACACGCGAGCAAGATTTGGATAGTATTTCACAAGATAAACAAGCTGAAGAGTTGTGCAATTTGCAATCCAACATTCATCGACATGATTGACAATGGCCACTGCTATCAGGTGAGCACAACGCTCGGGACTCAGTTTGTTTTTCGCATGTGGAGTTACTTGGCCAAATTTCTACAATGATAACCAGCAATGTTTATTTAAATTTGATTTTTTTTAAAGGCATACCTATATCGGTTACCTTGCCAACAGTCTCGGTGAAACTCTCGGATAAAAATGGAGTTTGGATGGCACCAGGGCATACTATAGAGATGGGAATATTTTTGTTTTGCTTCTCGGTGCGAAGACTCTCGAAATATCCCTGAAACAAGCGCAAATAATCTTTTTTGTTTTTTTAAAGTATCTTTATCTCTGATAAGAGAAAAGATAAAACATGACGCACATGTAGAGCGTGCTTGGATCCCGTGTACGATCCAGAGAATGGAACCCCCAGAATTCCAGCGATACTGCAGGTAACAACAATGTGACCATGCCCAATTTCCTCAAAATAACCGTACGCAATACGACTGAGTGCCACTAGAGAGAATACATTAAGATCAAAGAGTTCCTTGTCCACTCGTAAATCAATCTTTTCCCAGACTGCTCGTTGGGATCTGCCTGCATTATTCACCAGAATATCTAACTGATGATGGAGATGAGAAAACAAAAACAATTTCATAAATAGCCATTTTATATGGAAATAATATTCTAAGTGTTACCTTTCCAAATTTCTTGATTACGTGGTCGAAACATTTCTGATGATTGTCAATGTCACAAATGTCCATCACCATGACTTCTACATCGCTCTCTTGGAGGTGCGGATTAACTGAAAAAATGGCATGAGAAATAATCAGACACATTTTTAGAATTTTTGAATGATGCTCCATCATTACATCCATCATTACCTTTTAAACATTTCTCCTTGACTTGGCCAAGTTCATTGGCTCTTCTCGCAGATAATATCAATTTGCAATGTGCTTTAGCAAGCACATACGCCAAATGTTCCCCAATGCCACTTGAAGCCCCCGTGATCCAGACAACTTTTCCTCTCAATGTTTCTGATCACAATTACACAGAATAAATTACATGAATAAATAAAATGAAAATCATGTATAATAAATTGTTGAGAAAATATAATATAATTACCGATAGGCTGTCCAAACGTTTCTCGAAGCGATAGATTAAGATCGCAATCAAGGAACCACGGATAAATAAAATAGAACGCGTAATAAACAATCGCAATGATACCAATAATCTCGAAGAATGGCATTTTGATATGAGTAGAATCGCTCAATCGAGGTCCTTCATATCTGGAAAATCATGTTAATTGTAGGTTATGCCTTCCATCATCAGTGTTAATTGATGCAAGAGGCACAAGAATAATAATGAATAGTAGATTTGTCGCGCAGGTGTTTGCTGGTGATGTACTTACAGCGAAAATATGACAGTAACATGTGACAAGAGACGACTGTTTATTAATGCTACTACTGTAAAACAAGCGCAAAAAATACTCTGTTGCCGCCGCCGCCGCCGCCGCTGTATCCGGTTTTTATATTATATTATTGACTCTTGAGGGCATATATATCAGCACCATGGGTCAAAGTACATAGAGATATGCGATTATTTTTTGCTAGAGGGGCAATCATATTTTATCATTTATTTTTTCATGACTCAATTATTCATTTTGCTCATGTGTGGATAAGCAGCAGGTGGAGAATAAAATTTTCTGCAATGATGAGCCGCGCGATCATTAGTTTTTCACCCATTCTCTGTTGAAGAATTCGATCTCTAGTTTTACTATACCTACCCGGTTTTTCTTATAGATTGAAAAAATTAGCACAATTTCATATTTCTATACAACTTTTTCTATTGAGACATTTTTTATCGACATGAATTTTCTACATTATTTTTTCCAATCGCTAATATCTCTATATGAATGAATTTCTTCAAGTGGAATTGGATCTACTGCGTATTTGTGTATTGGAAGAAACAAATGTCAAATCGATGTAAATTGTGTATTCATCTTTCAATTCTCAAATTTGTCATTTAAGTAAGTTGTAATTTTATTGCAATTAATTAAAATGAGTGGGAGGAAGGTAAATTGAAATGGAATAATTCTCAAGTGCGTCATTATCTGAGTTTGTTCAGGACGGCCCCAAAGTAATCACAATGTTGGATTATTGGAAACTGTTTGCATAATGGTAGTTTCGTTGTATAATTCAGGTCTCTGTTGCTTCTGTGCATATATATACCCAAACGCTTTCTTAAATAATGCATTGATGCATTGATTGTTCATGTTTCGTCACTTGGTCAGCTTAATGTCGTCATACCTATACTGGCAAATGTCACATATTGAAACAATAATGGTCGCAATTGAACAAATCTGGGAAAATTGTAACCCATGCAATAATTTATCATCCAATAGTTTCTGATATATGATTTATTACAAATAAAAATGATAATAATACAATTATACAGCAGCTAATTAGTAGGTCTAGATCTAAGAGAATTGGACAAGCGATCGAAATATAGTGCCCCCTGCAAAAGGAAATTGAAATCCATGAAGAAAAAAAAAATACAAATAGCCTTGATTGTTATAAACTACTTAAACTCACCACTAAAAATGTTGCTGCCATCAAAAGACTCTTCAGTCTCACATTAGCATCACTTGGAAATGTCAGGAGCAGAATGTGATCGACGAGTAGATGATCGTATTGATGACTTATGGAGGCTATTTGGCGAGTCATGTCTATGGACAAAACCTAAAGAGGAATATGAGTTGGCGGGTGTGGCTTCAAGTCCCTTCAATACTTGCTTTTCAAGGTGCATTAAATCATGCATTATATACAGAAAATTCCATTGAATTCCTATACAACTTTTATTGAAAATTGTATCAATTTTTGACTGATTATATTAATTCGCTCTGCAAAAAGAACGTTATAACAAAGATTTTACATCTACCTTGGATTCCAATTTTGGTACGAAATTTTTTCAATTGATACATTTTCTAGTTTTTTCAACTTATCATTTAAGCCAAGGAATTTCACCTGGAAAGAAACTTCATCGCTCATGCAACAGCAGCACATATTGGGTCCATCTATGATGCACATGGCTTCTCTCGAAGCATCATAAACCGTGAAACTGGGACCGAAAAGAGTCAAGTTCTGCTCAATACTGCCGATGTATTCAGTGGTTTCGACAGTCATATTCTGTAGGATAGCATAGGTAAATTGATAATTTATTTATTTTAGTTGAATTCTCTCAAGTCTTGAGAAATGATGATTTATTGATTATTACATGCAGAAACCCTGGGACACATCCCCAACTGAGTCTCTTCGTCAGAGTGAAGGCAGATTCCCCAGACGCATCTCTCACATCCATCGTGAAACTCCTCGAAGAACCCAAAATATTTCTCTGACAATTTGTAGAGTTTTCCGAAGCTAAAAATAGAGTTTCTGCTCCTCGAATTTTCACCCTGAATTGATTTGCCGATTGTCCAAGGACTGGAACAGGTTTCAATTGAGTACGGGAATAGATCAGTTCTTGTAATGAAAGTTCTCAGCACAAATTATATCTTTAAAAAAAATTCTATTGGAGTGTTCTCTTGGCTGTTGATCGATTCTATTGACAATTATTTAGTAGAAATAAATGGATAACCTTTGCCTTTTTTTACAACTTATTTTTCGTTTTTTTTTTCAACTGCTGTTATATTTTGTAATATAATAAACTCTGCTCTGTTATTCTACTGCTTCTACTTATTAATTACACACGTGCATTGAGGTCTACTATCGGTTGTATCTCCACCTGCTCGACATTCGTCAAAAAGTATTCAGCGGAGATAGGAGTGAACTGCGATCTCGTCGTCGATCTCCACTCCTGGGTGCTGATTGGTATAGGTCGTCTCTGATTTGTTACTTGATTTCTATCTGGAAACAGGAAGCGGCTTCTTTCTATTTCGCATCCAATTTTTCAGTATTGATTGCCTTTCTATATATTAAACTTTGTATCAGTTGCTTGCCGAGTCTAGTGAAAAATTCCGCAGCTTATCTGCGCGTTCTATGGAAATTCCTCGGCTTTTTACATGATTTTTCGAATAAAAAGCTAAAAAAATCTCAATAGAAAAGATTGTGTTTTATACATGATAAAATTTTACTGATTTTTCTGTAAAATAGTTTTTATTGGACAGCATCGGAATTGTTGAATAGAATTCCCTATCGAATTCGCTAGGTATTTCTATAGATGCTTATTCATATCTCTCATGGCAGAATGTTTTATTTCCTTTACCTCCGCTGTCAGGATGAGCTCGCGTGATTGTCGCCGATTCGTAGAAGACTGGAGGTAGAAGCTCTATAAATATTTCCCAAAAAAACTAAATGGTGTTTTTTTTCTTCATTTCTGCTTTCTCGATAACCGAAATTTTGATGGAAATTGCTTTTTTTTAATAAACGGTTCTCGGGTTATTGACAAATTTTTCATTGCTTTAATTTTGTTTTTTTTTACCTTCATATGGCGGAGGAGCAGTTGCTGGCGAAGATTCATCCGGAAAAATGTGACGCTCTGACATTTCGAATGGAAACGCGAGCTGCGACTATTTCCCATTATCAATCTCCGCTGGAAATAAGCTATCTGGTCTTTCTGTGATAACAACTATCTTATCCTCTCACCAATTCGTAAATCCGTATCGATAAGAAAAAAGTACTGAAAAATGAGTGGTTTACGGTTTTTTTATGTACTTGAGGAATTAATAACCAATGGAAAAACAATGAGAATGACTAAATATAACTGGATACTCAAGAATTTCAGTTTTTTTTTATCGAAATGTTTTTCGAAATTTCTACCTAGGTAAATATGAAGGCTTTGTTTTCAGCCCTACTACTATTTCAGCCTAGACTAGCGAAAATTTTGAAATTATTCAAACGCTGAGGATATGAAGTTTATTGTCTTTTATAAACAATTAGTGAACATTTTAAAAAATTAATTTTAATTTTCCGGAATGATGAAAAAATTTTCTAGGTTGAAAATTTCATCAGAAACCTGAACTATTTCCACTATTCATTCATAATAAAATAAATAGAATAAGAAGACAATAATCTTTAAAACAAAAATACAATACTATATGAAGCCAATATAATTAATGAGTACTTAAAATGATTATTTAAAAAAATGTGTCATAAATTGTTGGTAGAATTATCGAAGGATTATCTCGCTCCCTCGAAGATAGTCCGTATCCCACCCTGTTTAATCATGTGCAGCCCTTACTCAGCATTTCACCCCATTGTCATGTCTCCGAGTCACCTCCGAGTCACGTATTCTTGTACTTGTTGCTGAATCGAGAGTTAGCGTCATGCGCAGCAATATCGATTATAAAGTACTGTCGGGAGGGTATAAAAGCTCGGATTTTGGTGTGGCTCACGTCAAGCTGTTGTGAGTTTCAAGTGGTGTGAAATAGTTAGTAATATTCATTCATTGAATTCTTCAATTTTTTGAAATTATTATTGGTACCATCGAAGATTCCAAACTCTAAACTCTTCCGGATATTTTTCATGAAGGATTGAAAGAGAGAGTAAGTGCAAAAGATTTTTTTCAATTTCTAAAACTCATATTACCGTAATATAGCGGCTAATTTAGCCTTCAAATTAGCTCATAATTAGGAGAAATTGAATAGAAAGAATGTTGTAATGATCGGGAAATTTAAGTTTCAATTTTCGTCGCTATATAACGTAGTGCGAAATAGGCTTTTCCTGAGATTCAAGCCACCATCTGTTACGTCAACGTCATGTTGCTTATAGACAATAATTCACCTATGTTGGGAAAATCGAATGAAATTACTTATTGTATGAACTTTTGGTATTAATTAAACTTTAAAAAACCAACAGCCACCACTTGAGGTCCGCAAATAGACTAAAAAAAAAAGGTAAATTACTATTAGGTGGTGGGTGACAAGCCTTCCGGATATTTTTTAGGTATTAATTGTGGACATTGTCGAGCCTACTGCAAAAAAGTCACATGTTCTAACACTCAGTCACGAAAAGAGAGCTCGTTAAATTCTGTATTTAGAACATCAGAACAAGTCTATCGATTTTTTGTCTGTTTGCGTGCTTCAGGTGGCTTTTATGTTTTTGGAGAGTAATGAAGGGAGTTCTGTAGTTCAATGAAGCCTTTGGGCGCGGGGACACTGAGAATGCCTAACTATATTGTATTGACTTTTCCTACAATCCTATAATCCTATAATATTTATTCATTCATGTCTATAGTTGACTATAGTTGAAAATATTTGATAGCAAAAAAATTCTTTTTTTTTAGTTTGAAAAATAAGTCTTTACCCTTAGGAGCAAAATGTCCAGAAGACTCTGGCCCTTGGCGTTTCTCTTGGTGGGGCTTGCCCTAGCTGCCTCACCAGTCCCCCACCAGACGAGTGAGGATTCCCTAAGGAGTGCCCTCAATGCCGTAACAAGGAAACAGAGGTCCCTCGATGCACTTCCCCCGGCGGGTTACTACGGCGACCTGAGGTCTTTCAAGTATCACGGCGAACCGGAGCCAAAGTTGGAGAGGGAGGAAATACCAGAGATGGATGATGATGATGAGGATGACCTCGAATTCCTTCCCCTAGGTATTCCCGCACTATCCGTTCAATTGATTCCAGATATGAGATACCTATATATCATGGGGGAGGATCTATTGATATTTAAATTCGTGACGTTTTTTCTTGTGCAGAGAACGGCCAGTTGGAGAATATCGGGGGTGGATACCGGGGGTTTAATAATAAGAGATTGGAGAGGGCTCTTATGGATTATTTTGAGACAGCACCCATTCAAGTGAGTTTTAAATTCGAGGAAATTTTATTGTTTAGCGAGGGTTCCAAAAATTGCAAGATTATCAGTAAAAATAACTGGAAAAAAAAAACAAACATTTTACAGAGAGAAACAGGAACCTCCTCTCTGTTCCGCGAGCGTGAGAGAAACGGGGCCCGAAAACGCACAATGAACCCGGACCATTTCAATGGCCATGACGACAGAGAATTGGCTCGACTATTTTTGGACGAGCTCCAAAATTCACCCCCTTACGGAGAAGAGCCTGAGGACACCCCCGAGTACTTGCCAATCGAGGCCTTGCAATCTCTCTACGACAGATACAGGTTGGAGGGGAATAATAAATTGGAAATGCCGGGTCCGATGTCATGGGCTGAAGACGATGGAGTGGATTATTTTGCCGAACGAGAACGCGGTCAACGTCCAAAGAATTATTTACTCTACCAGGTACTTCCCATCACTCAGAGAAGAAATGTCAATGGAAGGTATCCTATTGGCAGAGAGTACAGGGACCTTGTCAAACGATTTCCAGTTGCCAAGAGGAGTGCTAAACCCTTTCCACTTACATCACAGGCTACTGATCCCAAGGTAAGGGGACGTAGACAAACTCTCTCTCTCTCTCTCTCTTTTTTTTTTAACCTTTTAACCTTTTCCTTGGGCTGTTTTTAATAGGTCGCACAGGATCTAGGTGCCCTCTTCGGTCCTCAATCACGCCAAGCCAACAAAACCCAAGACCAAAAGCTCTCAGCAAAATTAAATCACGTGCACAATGACGATCACAATCACATGCACCAACATACATCAGAGCGACCTGTCTCCTTCACCACAGACGTCTCGTCCACGACATCTCGACAGGAGCACCTCAAAGACAAGTCCGGTACAAAGGCCAGCAATACTAAAGAGCGTCTGATAGAAGTGAAGAAGAAGAAGAGTGTCGACTGGTCTCAGTATTTCGGCATCGACAGAAGGCGAAAGAAGGCAACTCTTCTAGCTAGACCTGGTAGCCAGGAGCAGGACGACGAGTGGATGCTCCAGAGGTACTACAAGACAATGGCTGACAACTTGAAAACTGCTCCGGCAAGGGATTTCGAGAGGAATGGAGGGGAGAAGAGGGACAAATTGGATCAGATGGACGAGAAACTGAAGAACGTTAAGAATGTCATCATCGAGGATGCGGTGAGGTACTCAGCGGCGGGCGACAATGATGCTGACCCTCAGGATGTCAAGGAGGTGGTTATGGCCCGTATGGCGGCGGCTTATTCCCTGGAGAAGATGAGGAAGGCTCTCAATGAATTCAGAAACAGCATTGCTGCGCAGAGGGATTCGCCCAAAAATTCTCAAACGAAAAATAATAATTCTAGTAATAATGGAAATAAGGATAACTCCAGTGGAATTGGGGGGAATGAGAAGAGGTCTAGTAATGTCATCGATGATGAAGGATCCCCTTATGAAGGTAGGATTATTCATTGAATTTTTCATTATTGACCATGCATATTAAAAAAACACGCCGGCGATAATGATGGTGTCGTTATTTTCCATTAGGATTTGATGAGGGCAAGTTTACACCTTGTCCGGAGTTGGAAGTTATTGAGAGGAGTTGCAAACCAGCTAGAAATCTTGTTAGTGGGCTCTTTGTGCCCTGCGTGATGCATCAAATTTGCACAACTTGTGTAAGTATTGTTGTTCTCCCCTCCCTTTTTATCCTATACCATATACTATAATGAATAATAATAGAAAAAGAAGGCACTATTGTTTTTGATGATTGAAAAAAAAAAAATGTTTAGGATGAAGAAGATGAATGCATGGGATTGTTTGCAATGGAAGCAGCCCGAGTCTGTGACCTTCTCGAAGAAGAGGGCCGTGACGCTGGTGGCCATTGCGCAAGAACAGCCCTTGTCATCTCTCAAATGCAACCACTCCCCATCGGCACATCCCTCTGTCGCGGCTCCACTGGAGGAGATTCCTGTCTTGGTCGATATCAATATCGCAATCGCAATCGCGATCACAATCGTCATCGTTTCTCCTACTATCCCTACGCAACCCGACGACACAGCACCACCAGCGGATTCGATACACCAATGAAACGATAAAAAAAACTGAGGATATTTCAATGAGGTATATAACGCCAGTCGACATGACAGCGTCATATCAAATAGAATCTTCCCTCTCTTTGCAGATTGTCTGAAGAAAAATCCAAATGTGTAGATCTTTAGGCGCCTAGTCAGTGTCTGCGAATGCGAATTATTCCCATGTGTGGAGGAAGGATGGATTGTCCTGTTGGCAATATTTATCGCCATCACTAATACCTGAATAGAAATGAAAAATGACATCCTAGCGATTTCTGTTGGACTTTCTATTAGTTTTTGGCTGATTCTATTGGGAAATTCCAGAAAATGCTGTATAGAAAAAAAAATCAATAGAACAATAAAATTCTAGAGATTGTTTCTGTATCCGGTGAATTCGCTAGGTTTTTCTTTTTTTTCTATGAATCATATTTGTGCCTGCATGAAGAAAAAATAAAAATATCTGTGGGAGAGAAAAAAAAACTGGATTATCTACCGATACTTCTGAAGACGATTCGAGAGAATTATAAGATCCGACTTGCCAAATTATCAACTTTTCAGATGAGGAAAAATGAAATCACAATGATGAAATTATTAATCGTGCTTAATCCGTACAGTGTGTACCTGAATGTATAATTGGTTTAGGTCATAAGCGCATCTTCTATCTTCTCCTCCCTTTTAAGTATAAAAAAATATATTTCAAGTCACCCTCGGAGACTCATGCACCTATTGACGATTATTATTAGTTGAGAATATTCGCATTGTATTTAAACACGCACCACTCGGCCTAACGAGCCTCATTTTAAACTCGATAATTATTTCAATGGAATTGATCAACGAAGCTGAGGACAATAAACGGTTAACGAAAGTATTTTGAATCGGCTTGATGTCTCCAATGGGTCTTTGGATATTAAAAAATTGTAAAACGTGAGTGAAGAAAAATTTATATTCTATTCAACATCTATTAGCTGCTGTATTCCATTTTGTTTTATTTTCATTGTTCGAGTTGATGAGATTACGTTGGAAAATATCTAGATAAAGCTTTTAAAGAATTCCAATATTTCCGAGCTGATGCAATCGGTGGGGAAGCTAATATTTCGAAATTTTTCATCTTTCTTTGAAAAATTATCAAATTAATTGCAAAATCAAAATGTTTTGTCGCGTAAAAATCCTTTGGCATTGAGATAAATTGAGCTTTGAAAAGAGCGGATAAAAAATCGCAGTTATGATAAGTTTTATCACTCCCCCACCGAAAAATTCTTATATTTTCATCTGCGTTAATACATTCCAGTAATTTCGAAAAAAAAAAAACATAAGCATTTAATGAAGCAGGGTTGACAAGGGTACCACAGTGAATTGTATTACGCTAAAACTCAATGTTGAACATTAAAACTGTTCGATTTTTAATCAAAGAAAAATTTTTAATGTGTGGCTATGGCTCAGATATGTCCGAGTGCGTGCGTCGTAGTCAAATGACTAAATTTCCCGTTCGATATTGCGTGCCATGTGGACATTAATGAAAATGTATCGTTAAATTTGATCATGTACGAAAGAATTTAATAGAAAGATGAAAAAATTGAGCAAAAAAAAATATATATATATATATATATATATATATATATATATATATATTTTACATAAACAATCAATTCATCGTATTGTATTGAGATTTTCCTACTTTTTTGCTGAATTTTTTTAAAATGGAAAATTGTTGAATAACAATACAGAGAGGAATATTAAAAATCCATTAAATATTTCTTGTTTTAAAAAATCAATAGAATTCCTATTAAATTTTTTCGATTATGATCCTCTGAATGTTCTATATGCAATGCTACATATTTTCAGTCTCAATTGCCAATTATATTTTACGATTTTCACCCGGTCCCCTTTATTTCCTAGCTTGAATGACGATTTATTTTTATAATTAAAAAAATAAATCATTAAGAAAAATGAGAAATGGTTGCATTGAACGTTTTGTAAATGTTTCAATATGGTGCATTATATACAACACTTATTGTTCTAGATAATTAAGAAAGATAAATATATCAAGTATCTGCGTGTCACACTTAATCGTCAAGTTTTGTCGAATTTCTAAAGTTGAAGAAAAATCCATCAAGATTCACGCATGGAAGCAAATTAATAGAAAAACCTAGCGCTTCCTCTGAGAAATTCTATTGGAACATTCTATTTGTTTTTTTTTTCTATAAAAATTCTTGAACGTAACATTTGCAAGTTCTTTCCGCTGTTTTTTTAAAGTTATTTTTCATAATAAAATTCAAGAAAAAACACTTGAAAAAGTTGCAAAAAATGGACATTTTTATAAAAACAGGACAAGCTAAAAAGCATTTTTCCAATGGAATTTCTTGGAGAAAGCGCTAGGTTTTTCCAGTAAATTTCATCATACGTGTTGTGAATAAAATTGTTGTAAAACATTTACAAGATTTGCAAAGTGCGACTATCGCTAATTAAGAGTCAAACTGATTAATGAAAATTATTCATTTGTTATTAAATGCAATCATCATCGGAGCTTTTATTTAAACGTCAAACGGAAAGTACTCGTACAAAGAGAATATTATAAACTCGTGGAGATGATATTTGGTAATCCTTGGGTTGTTAATATGACCCAAATACTCGCTTTTGCACAAGATTACATCGTTTGACCGATTTATCAAGATCCTTCGTCTTACTATCTTGGAGTATGAAATATTATAGTATATTATATATGAAAGAATATATGTACATGTTATGATTCATGAGACATATATGTATTAGCCATCTGTATGTAATAAATATATTTAAACATAACATTTTTCTCTTCCTCAATATATATTTATTATTGCAAAGAATTAATTTTATTTCAATTAAGATGAATCTATAGTTGTTCACAAGGAGTTAGAAGACATTAACATCTTATGAAGACAATGGATTCGAGCTAGGTGATGAAGAAGTCAACGATGTTGCAAGATTTTTCGTTTAGTCATCCATATTTTCATTGTCATTCTTCCCTTTCAGGTTCATCTCCCTCTCCTGCTCCCTCAGAACATCCAAAACTATCGCAGTGATGGGTTGATAGTTGGACAGGACCTCCACGTGCATGAATGCACACTTAACTATTGCCGAAAATGAAGAAATGGATGAGAGGAAATAGTTGCGATTATGGTTTATTATATCATCATCCCTCACCTTACCTCTCAAGTCAGTCACTTGCTCGAGGATCTTTTTTAAATCGACAATGGTATTGTCAATTTTTCTGCAGGCTGTTGCAATCTCGTTGTTCATCTTGGAGCAGTTGTCGTTATCGCGATCACGAGAGTGATTGATGGACAATAATTATTTGACAATGAAGAAATCACACTCGACTGTTTCAAATCGAAATGTCCAAATGTCGGTATAGTAGATTCACGATTCACAGGGAGGTGACGCCATCTTTTCACAGGGGAGCGAACATATAGTTTATAGTTTAATTCTACAAAAAACTCTAATACAACTCCAATGGAAATTATTCAATAGAGAGAGAAATAGACAATTTCCATTTTGTTCGCGTTTTGTCGTAGTAACCTTGCCTACACCTGAAATAATAAGAGAAACCCTCCCTCTCTAGTGCTCTCTAGTCTCTATCAACTGGAGAAAAAACTTGAATGACTAGATCTCCCCCCACTCCACCCACAATTGGTGGAGAGAGAGAGAGACGAAACCGACGCATTTGAATTTCATTGGTTGCCGTGTAAATTGTGTACATGGTAACGCGAGGTGCCGGCCCCCGTGGAGAGAGCCCACGGGGGTCCCTGTCAGTCCCTGTCCCAGTCTGTCCCTCAAGAGACTTCTCCCAAACCGTTGATACCCACACTGCCGTGCGCATCGTAAATACGTGCATAACAAATAATTCCTCGGCCCGGTATGAATCCTCAATCACAAAAACAATAATCGAAAAGTTGAGACATTCACCCGAGACTCTTCCACTCGTGTCAATTGTTTTTTTTTTAATTTTGTTTTGTTTTTCCAGTGTTTTATTCCTTGTGCCAGTGCTGTTGTTGTGTTCATGACCAATAGAAGAGCATCGTTTATTGAGATGCAGTAGTGACTATTTATACGAGATAGAGAGTGAGTAGATTAATTGTCATAGAAATATTTTGTGCTTTTTCGGCAATTCTCAACTAGCTATTGGGCATTGCAGCAATTGAAATCTTCCCATAACATTTCTCCAGTTTTTATGGAGGAGGGAATGTTATTCTCATCAGCGGATGATTTTTTCTTCCAAGAAATTATTATTTTTTTGCAAAAACCAACTTGAACCACTACTTTTCTACTATGTCATACAACCAAAAACAAATATAACGTAAAATCAAGGTCAGACTTTAACAAGTTTAAATAATGGAATCTGAAAATTTTTACGAGAAAAAAATTTGCTCCGATTATATTTTTATAACTCATGAAATCCAATGAAAACGCATTCCCTCATTTCCACACATCACTTCCTGGGGATAATTGCACGTACACAATAATTCCGAGTGGCATCGTCCTCGTAGAATCATCATTACATACACATGTACACTGTTTACAATGCGACATCCGGCTGAAGATTAATACCACTGACACCCACAAATTCATTTTCACATAAAAGCATGAATTAATGCACCAAATGCTCTCGATGCATCGAAACGTGAAGCAAAAAAATTTAAGAATTTTTATCACCGGTCCATAATAGATTTAACATTTATCCATTTATTTTTCTATAACTGACCACCTCTTACGAGTTTTATTGTTCACTGCTATTTCTTGAGTTGGTCACGTATGAAACAATGTAATAGAAAATCCTAGCGTTTTCTCGAAAAAATTCTATTCAGTTTCTATTGGAATTTTATTAAGAATTTTTATTTATTCATTGCGACAATTAACTTTTTCAATAGATATTTTTCAAGAATTTTCCGTGTTTTTTTCTCTTAGACTCTTAGATTATGGGAAACAAATGAAAAATGAAAATACAACGAAACAAACTTGGAAAACTCATCCCCCAGAATTGCTACAGAAAAATGAAAATCTATTGATGGCTAAAATTGCATTATCAATCATCATCAATATAGTTATAGGCGCAAAAAGCTAATGGAATTCCAATACAGTGTGAATAAAATTTCTTAAAGAAAGCATCATGTTTTTCTAGTGAATTTTTCCACACGTGACCAAATAGAAATAATATCTCGTATCGTCTCCGCGATAGAGAAAGTTTATTTTGTGATGCGTGTTAGTGTGGCGTATATACTATTTATATTCTTTATTTGTACGCAGTATTTATTGAAATATAAAACCAACGGCTCTGAGTTTTGATGTATGTATCCAGTGAATGAACAAAGGGGTCCGTTCACTGGGCGCGGTGTTGCGTGTGTTATAAATGTTGCTGGGCCTATACTAAACAAGTCAGCCACTTGATCGGTATGCGAATTAAATAGAGCAGCATCCAAGCAAGAAATCCTTGGACCGTTAAATCGGAATAAACGGGATTCCTCGCTGAAAATTTCTTTTTTCTTTTTTGTTTATCAATAGTTTTTGTGTTTGGAAAGAATGACAGCGAGATTCTTCGTAAATTGTAGTCTAGTTTCCGGATGGAGTTAAGGTGGTAGTTAAGAGACCTTGAGAGTTTAATAAAAGTATCGATTGAAATGCTCGCTAAATTTGGTTTTGAACTCTACTTCTAGAGTTCATAGCAGAGATGTGAGTGAGAATCTACCGTAGAGCGTGCGAATAGACACTAAAAAAAGCCTAAAATATTTCATTTCTCTATGAAATTGAATCTCCTCATTGCATGGAATTCCAATGATTGAAATTGCATCACGTTCCCCAGAAATTATACTTTAATCAATTAATTGATTTCTCTGGGATTGACTCACCAATAAAATTTCCCCGATTAATTCCTTCAGCCAATAGAACCGTTTATGACGTTTTCCTTAGCCTGGATACGAATCGACTAGAATTGCCATTTATTCTCGGCCTATCCGTTCTCCAATTAACGCTCCCGTTGACATGAGAAGAATTTAATTCTGATTTATTGAGACCAGTGTTATCGTTGGAATTGGGGTATTTTCGGGGGGTTTATTTCGGTGAGTCCACGTGCACTTGTTTGAGATTGCACCGATGTGAGACGACGCCCCCCTTCTGGAGATAGCTGGAATAATCCGGGAATCGATGGGTGCCATGCTTCTAGATTGTAATCTATAGTTGTAAAATTCTCACTGCTAAAAACAATGAATGTATGGGTTTGATGCGTCATTCCGCCGTTTTTACGGTTTCATTATTATTTTTCTCATCGATAAATCATTTTTTAACAATATTTTTCTTATTCACTTTATTATATATTCAACCGAGCCAATCTTTTAATTTTTTCATTTTTACAACAGAATCAATATTCACTTGGCGAAAAAATTACATTTTGGCGAAAGTCGACTAAATAATAGACTCGAAATAATTACTTGGGATAATATTTCATCATGATTAATCATTAAAAATGGCCTGTCCCCTCGATTTTCGTCAAACAGTTCCCCCCAAAGTTGTGACTAACACCGAGCGTTCTCATTTCCATCGTTACAATGTATTATAATCACGTAATGGGATACACACACACCCACACACATACGGGGTTTGAATGGTTGTAAAAAAATGAAAAAGTGAGACATGACAATGACTGTCCGGTGGAGTAGGTGAGCTCCAAACCGAGCCAGGTGCATGTCCCCGTGCTGCGGGCGGGCACCCGAGCGTGTCCGCCACCGGCTTTCCTCTCAGCTGGGCCCCCTCTCTCGGCCACCACTCTATTTTACTCATTTTTTCATTTCATTTTATTTTATTTTATTTTTTTCCTTTTTCTGGCTCATCTCATTCTTCAGTTTTTTCCAACCAGTTTTTTCTTCGCCCCCTTTCATCCTCTTTCTCTTAGCTGAGACAAAATAACACCAACGGACTCTTGGCTCCCTTTGTCGGGATATCACATTAGCCATCATTAGCCATTACCATGACAATCGCGCACTCTACTTGAGTTTTACTTTCACGTTGAGTCAATGAATGTTACCGAGGACGCGGAAAGGATACCCATATTTGAAGGACATTTGAATTTTTCAGTATTCTTAAGTGTAAAAAATATTGACATTGACAATAGTGAAATCAAGAAGAAAGCAAATGACTTAAATTCTGTTTATTCTTGAATATTTAATCAGAATAATCCTAATTGACGGCTATTGCGCGGCTCGAGTGAAGGGATCAACATTTTTTCCGTCCGTGGGAAGCTCGTGCTATCGACAGAAAAAAAATAAATAAATAACAAAAAACATGGCAATGAATAGCCGACAAAACTGTTGTGTCTTACACCGATTTTTATCCCGGCGTTCGGCTTTTTCTCTTGGATTTTTCTTCCCTCCGAGATATGACAAATTGTCGTGCTAACGAGTCTTGGCTATTTTTGGGCAAACCAGTCCCCACGTCGATTTCAAAAGGCGACACCGTTACTCTCGCGTGACGATTTATTAATTGACGAGGAGCATTCAACTTAATTTCATCCATTGCTTCCCCTTCGTTTTCTCGGCTTTTTTGTCTTTGGATTGCAATGGCACTCGAGAATGGCAAACTCCTAATTACCGAGTCATTTTCTTCACTCAAAACTGTCGAGCGAGAGACGCGACGCAGTGTCTGCAGACCGGACTGAAATAGAATCCTAGAGTTACGGGTTCAGGAACCCGAAGATTCTTGGAGACTTGACTTTGAAGTATTGTCAAGGCATCATTTACAATATCAAAATATTCAATTAAAATATATTTATTTATGACTTTCTATTTCGAGTTCTGAACATGCACTTTTTCATATTTTTACAATTTGCTTCATTACATTTGGAATGATGTATTTCTTTTAAAAAACTCCCCCACTCCCCGGTACATTTCTCACCCCATAACTTATCAATTCCACATGCCATTTCACTTTAAAAATTTCAAGACCAAACAAATCATAAACAAGCTGAGGTGTAAACCCCTTAATCAGTCACCCAATTCTTCTCACTATTTACACGGCCCAAACACGGCGAATGAAATTTCACTCCCCGTCTCCTCATCTCACTTGAATAAACATCATGTCCCCCTTCCCCATGCTCCATCAGAGAGCCGCCTCGATTAAAGTGCCTGCATGATCAAAAAAAAAAAAAAAAAAAAAGAAACGGAACGACAGGCCAAAACAAATAAAAAAAGAGAAAAACCGAAAAACAAATTCAACTTTAATATGAAAAGCGAGTGTGCGACCCCCCAACAAACGAGTTGCCCACATCGATGGTGAAGTGCAATGATAATGCTCAAAAAAAGTCTTAGAGTATATAATGTACAGAGGAGGCAAGAGTTGAAAGGAAAGAGGGCCGAAAACTTATTTCTTTACCTCTAGTTTCCGAAGTGAATTTCTCGAACGGCCTCTCTGCTCACTCGCGCGATCATTATATCCGCTAATAAGTATGGTATATCGTCGACGATTACCCGCTAAGTATAGGGTTGCATCCCCTCCCCCTACTCTATCTCTCTTTGACTCTCTCATCCCTCTTTTTTCCGCCTTCTATTCCTCTTTTCTCCCTACTTTAAAAACTTGATGACCGCACGTCACTGGCATTCACCGTTGTAATTTATATCAGCGGGGACTCCGATGTGTATTTACGTATTCATGTGTTCAATGGGTGTGCAAAATTGTGCATTTGTGGTAGTGGATGTGCCCCTTGTGGAAGATGCCATCTTCATGGAATGGAATGAAAGGAGGAAGGGATATGTCATAAATTCATGACTGCCGTCCCTTTATGAGTTGTTTTATTTCTGTTTGTTTCGAGACTCTTTTACACTGTCTTTAAATGAATTTATTGGTTTTTAGTTTCATTGGCAGTAGTTAGTGCAACAGTTGGGAAAAAATTTAAGAGAAAAAACGATGGGGAATGTTGGAATGAATATCGTGTAAGACACGACAGTTTTATCGGCTATTCATTGCGATGTTTTTGTTTTTTTTTTTACAGTCGATAGCACAAACTATCACTCGATCCTCGCAATAGCCAAAACGTGTTATATTTTTTGCAATGATTTCTTGAAACCGTTGATGATTTC